CTACTTTTGAAACCCAAGATAGCAACGACCTCACTGACAAGTATAGTAACCTTTCAGTAGTTGTCGTGAACGGAGCGCTTTCTCGAAAATCATTCTGGACCGGGAGGAAATCGAACCGCTCTTACATCCGGACATAACGTGTTGCCACTGCACTGCCTGTTCATGTGCTCCAGGTCCAGCCTGGCAGCACATTTACTGTGTGTCTGCTTTTCAAAGCAAGATACAACTTTCTTTCTTTCGTTGTGACGGCTTCTTGGCTGGCTTTTCGCTGGCTTTCCACGATAATGGCCAAGAAAATAGAACTTCACCCAAAAGCAACACCATCCGCTAACAAGATTCTTGGCGGTTCCTTCTTCCGGAAACCTTTCAACCCTTTCAGTTGCTCTCTCCAATGATGATTAAGCTTCTTTACGGTATTGCCAGTTTCAAATTTTACGAATTTGTTATGTCCCCTACCCGCCCCCTTACTCGTCTCCCGTGAATCTCCAAGTATTAGTGATATAGCTCCGCGCAAGGTGCAGCAAGGCCAAGCACGCTGCCTGTGACCAGCTGGTGGACATGTCCAACCGCTCCGCTGTATTCATTGAATGTATGTTCAAATTGTTATTTTTCTTTCGGAAATATCAAATATTGACAAGCAACGTCTAACGATTGAATTTCGTATACTTACTACGTACAAGTGTGCCCTTTTTGTAAGTACCGCATATTGTCAAGCAACGTTCATGAGCTGTTAGCTCAACAACTGATTTGCCTACCCTAGAGGAAAATTATTCTCAATTTTCCGAAAACTAGGCTTTTACAGAAAATATCGAAAATTCTTTTACTCGGTGAAAGAAACTTCCAAATTCTTATCAACAAAATACACTACCTCTTCAGCTTCTTGCACACTGGTTGTTTTTCGTGACGGCCGAAATCCGGATTTCGCTCGCAACGTTTCTTCGATCAAATTAGCCGTTTCAAAAAAATTCGTCATTTGACGTGAGAATACAGTTGATTTGCGAGTGGCTTTCCGTCGACTTTTCAGATACTGAATTGAAAACTGACTTGGCGTTTTATGATATCATTTCTCAGCTGAACTGATTTACTGGATGCTTAGCATCGCCAAAAAGACGAAAAGTAGTTACGAAGAGCAGAATCGAGTGAATTTTCATATGTTTTTATTAAAAAATTCTATTTTAAAACCCGCATTAATAATTTGCAAAATTTAAAAAGGGAATTCTCATTAAAGTGAGAAGGTGCCCAATGCCTAAATTTGAACCCGAAAAATTCGAATTAATTACTAAAAATTATTTTCAGCACACACTCCAAAATTTTAATTTTATCTTCGAGGAAAAATATTTTTAGACCAGTTCGTTAAAAAGACAAAACCCAGGCTTAAATGCACCAGGTGGGCCGGTGCGATTATGCGTTTTTGTGCGTTTTTTGTAGCAATGCAATGCGAAAAAAGCGTATTGACGAGAGGT